CCAAACTGTTGTGGGGGCTATAAGCCTCCCCAAGCAACACCGGCTTCGCGATGCCTGAATCACACGAGAAATGAACCYGGCGAAGCGTCAGCATTTTCAGAACATCAAACTAAACGCYCTCAAAATCCATGTATACTACAATCTAACAGCATCAAACAAGCTGGCTAACTCTAAATTACTGGATCGTCGCCCAAAATAAATTTGATAGGGTTTGTCGATGAACCATCAAAATGTAATAATAATACTAATGTCAACAAAAAAAGGTATGAAAAGTGTACAAGATATACTGCTGTGCTTTCTTTCTCGGTTTGAATATTGTGGCTAAAGTATAGCTTCAGCAGAAAACTCAAACAATGAGTACCAACGTACAAGTAAGCGAAGGCTGAAAAATAATTTAACCACGAGACGAACAGATGCCGAAATTTTCTTATGCAACTTGAGTTGTGGTCGCCGTTGCAAGAAAAGATTTGGGGTATAGAATGTCCCAGATCTCGCGAGGCTCGCCAAAAAGAGACTCGCAAGCTCGGCGATTAAAAGAAAGGGCCTCGGATTTAAAATCGCTTTTGGCTCGGAAGCTCGCAATTGCCGAAATATTGGAGGACTCGTTCAGCCAAAGTCTCTGCGAGGCTCATATAATATTCGATACCCCCAAGATTTTTTGCATGTACGTGTCGAGCCAACGTCGCGTCGAACCCAAATAGTTTGAGTTTACTAGCATATGAACAGCTCGATAGCTATGAATCATTTTAAGTTCGGCAGGACTGTAGCATGTTAACGCTGATTCGAACGTCGAGCTATTGCCGTCCCTAACTTACAAATACATATTTTGTTCGGCAGAAGTAGTGGATGTAGATTTTTTCTTATGATTTGATTGTATGAATCAACGCCGTACAAAATGTATTTGGGTCRACACAAATTTCAGACGTTTTACTAGTTTTGTTTTTATGCAAATGACCAACAAGCTTTGCGAATATATTGTTATGTAGATTTAGTGTTTCCTATGAGTTTTGTTATTATGAAAATTAGTGAAGCATATAAAGAACAATCTCGTGATTGTTACGTGATCAAGCAACACGTGCACTTGAACTTTGACGTGACGGATTTGACCGCCATTTTGTTTGGGTAAAAAAAATAACCAAAATAACCCGATGAATACAGTGTGAAATCATAGTTAATCGTGAAATAGATGTCAAATAATTCCATCAAACGTTAAATACTACGAAAAGGAGTTTTAACTCCTTAATACTGGTTAAAACTGGCCAGTTTTGAAGGTCTTGGTTGATCTRGGCAGTGCGTAAACTCATTTGTAGTTCTCAAAATGGTCTTCTACTACATACGGTCATCAACGGTTCAATTCCATACTGTATCGAGGCTGAGTTGATTCAAAGATGTTACCTGCAATTAATTTGGTATACACCTATTTCGTCACCAGGACACAGTCCACAGTCTTGAGCCTGCAAAGAATCTTGGRGTTTCCATATATATTCAAAATATATTTGCCTATGTGGTTTGAATGGTGACAAACACTACTAATATAATATTGTGGGTATTAAACCCATAACAAGTCTCGCCATGAGACATTTTCCTTGAAAAATGTTCCACGTTTTCAAGCGTGCGCACCTGCATTGTTCAGAAAACAGTAGAGTAGCGAGGAAGGGCCATGTCGAGTTCACGCGGGAGAGAGCCGAGCTCCGTCGACGTTGGCGGTTGACTGGCTAAAGAGCCAAAATCTAGAATGCTAGGATAATTACAAAGATTGGCATTTCTCTGGTTCTAGCTTGTCTGAAAGCAAAATATTTAGTCATGCTAAACTGCATGAAACCGTTTTGGAATAAAAACATGGATTCATGTATTCTTTTTTCTGTTTAATCAGTCTACTTTAAAAAACCCTCCCATGYAGTATATTTAAATGGTAGGTTTTCTATGACAAGTCAATACGATTCCTATTGAACGGAAGTGTGTGTTTTTTTTTTAGGGACGAGTGCTTGTGGTAGGAGCTGGAGTGATTGGACTAACAACAGCATTAACACTTGCTGAACATGGGTAGGTTGTTCTGGTTGTTGGCACGTTATATTCTGCAGTGATGGCGCCAAAAATGCCTTAAACGGATAGTTGTGTAAAAAGATACATTGAAGGGAGAGTCAACGACATCATTTTGATGTATCTACATGTATTTTGTTACAGAAAGGTGTGGATCTACAGATCTCAATGAAGAGGGAGGGCACATATGGGCAGAGGGTACTGAGGGTCATATGAATCTCTATTTTTTTATGGTTTTAAGCAGGACTTTCCCAAAGGGGAGTTGAGGTCTCTCCTCCCCTGCAGTCATATTCCCTGGAGCACTTTATCAAGGTTTTTCTGTTAACATTTTTTGGTAGGTACAGAGTAACAGTTTTGGCGCGAGAATTCTGTGCTTGCGATGAAAAGTCTAAGCTAACGACACAGGTGGCAGCAGCTTTTTGGAACTTTATCACTGACAACAAAGCYACTGAAGTAAGAWCGGGTTCTGATTCCAACATAAAATCCMRGRAWWWWAAA